AGCCTGATGCTATCACCAATATGCCGGTGCTGCAGAAATGCTGATTGTGCAGGGTGCACAATATCACCTGCCACTGCCAAAAGCCGATTGGCAAGCAATTTGGCTAGAAGGCGATAGTCATAGTTAAGCAATTGTATTGGCCGATATGCAGCTGGGTCAGCGACATCCCCGCCTGGTTTCAGCACAGGCAAGATAACCCCATCCAACAGACCATGCGGGACACGCTGTGCTGCACCAACAGCCGAATACAACGCTGCCAATAACGGTGCAAGTTGCGTCTTGTACTGTCGATAGAACTCCCCTGGAATTCCATCCAGCCCAGGTGACCTGCCCGGGGCAGTCTGAGATATGGCTTCAGTCACCTCACCAACGGTGACATCTGCAGCTCCAAGCTGGGCGGCTGCCGCTGCATCAAGACGCTGCGAATGCTGCCTCACTGCTTGCAGCACAGCCTGCCGTTGTGCCTGTTGAACCTGAGGTGCCACAGTCAGGTCAGCATACCGCCTACCGATGATACGCGCCAGACTCACACTGTCACGCACCAGGTGGCCAGTACCAGGGGCTCGCAGGCCTCCAATATACGTGGCCCCCTTGGGAGGCTTCAGAATCTTGGTCATTGCTGGTCCAGGCCGCTCGCCCTGGTGCACCCACTGCCACCTGCGCCGCGCCCGCTGCACATCTTCCTCCTGCTGTTGCAATGTTGCCAGTTGAGCCCTGGCATCCACCACAGACTGCAGGGCTGCTGGCAACGCGGCATCATTGCACACCTCAAGCGTGCCATGCGCCGCCATCACCGCGGCTGCTGCTGCTGTATGCTGCGCCGTTGCTGGCTGGGCTGCCTGAGCTATCCTGGCCATCCTATTGAGTTCTGCAAATTTTGCGGTGAGCCGTCGCTTAAACGCCGGCCACCACTGAATGATAAAAGTGCTGCATCTGCCGGTGGCTGCTGGGACGCCAGCCACGCCTGCATTGCTGCTCTACACTGCGCATCCCGCTGAAATGACATACGCAGCCGCCTGAGCCCAGGTCCCAACACGCCCGGGCCGCGCGGCTGCAGCTGCGTCACCACTGCTGAATGGTCACTGAGAGCTGCAGTCTTGTCCTCATGTCGGCTGGCCACCACCTGCGGCATCAACGTATCTGAACAGTAAATCCTGTCAATACGTGACGCTGCATTGGCACGCACATATGTGTACGCGCGGCGCGCCGGGTGCTTATCCCGCCATACATCACGCATGCGAGGCAGATGCTGTGCCCAAGCTGCTGCTGGCGCGGCATCACGCGGCAGCAGGGGTTGCTGCTGCTGCTGCTGTTGCTGATGTGCTGCTGTAGCTGCTGCGGCTGCTGCTGTTGCTGCTGTTGCTGCTGCTGCTGCTGCTGCTGCTGCTGCTGCTGCTGCTGCTGCTGGGAAGCAAATTGTCTGCGGTCCATGCCTCTACTGGACACAAAGTTAAAATCGCCCAGAAAAATCAGGCCAGTGGCTGGTTGTTGCCGATGTTGTTGGTAGAGCTCCCGCAGAGGGCCGCTGATGATGGCTGCATTTGCTGCGGGATCAGATGCATGCATGTAGATGCCCACCACCTGCAGACGCTGCCCTGCCCAGACTAGAGGCACACACAGCATCCTGCCCTGGGCAGGGCCGTCAACAGGCGCATGTACCTCCCCCTGCACCTGCAAGGCCCCACTGGCGAGAAGGCTGCTGCGGACCAGAACTGCCACGCCGGCTCTGGTGCGACCCTGACCTGGAAGCCCCACACACCAAAACGACGACCAACCCCGTACCTGCAGCCGGCGTTGTACCGCCGGCCGCTCCATGAAGTTAACGTGTGTATCCACCGCCGCCACAACGTCCAGGCCCAGCTGCTGCCACTGACTACTGAGCGCTGGTAGCTTGTTGGCCAAGCCATTGACGTTGTGTAGGCCCATTCTCAGGTATGGGCCTCTAGGCATGGGACACGGAGGGCATGGCCGCCATCACCAGCTCGCGTGCTGCTGCAGGCTGGGTCGGCGGGCTAGAGCCGTCAAGCTCCAGATTGCTGGACGATGCGGATGTCGGCAGCTGCTGTTGCTGCTGCTGCTGCTGGTGGCTGTGGTGCTGCGGCTCCCGGGTGGCACGCTCAGCCCCCTTAGACGCCGCTGACTCCACCGCGCTGAACTTACGCGGAGGTGAGAGACTCCGCGTGTCACGCGCGGTGACCCGTTTGACAATGCAGGCCCCTGCCTGCTCCTGCTGTTGTTGGGGTTGCTGCTGCTGCTGCTGCTGCTGCTGCTGTTGCTGCTGCTGCTGCTGCTGCTGCTGCTGCCGCTGCTGCTGCTGTGGCTCGGCCTCCCTCTCCACAGCTACAGCGGCTGGCCGCGCCGGGCGCCGCTGCTGCGTAGCTAGCTGGACGCTCACCCGCTTGGGGTTCTGCGGCTTGCGTAGGTTCTTGACCGGTTTAAGCGGCGTGGCCGGCGGAGCGCGCCGTGGCCCCCCGCGCCGCAGCAGCTGCCGCAACAGCTGCTCCTCCTGCACCGGCTGCCGTTGCCGCTCCTGCCCTGGCGCCGCAGGCACGGCAACGGCCGGGGCAGCAGAGCCCGCTGCCGGCAGCGCCGCAGTCGCTGCTGGTGCTGTTGCTGCTGAACCTGCCTCCGATGCTGCTACAGGTGTTGCCGCGGCCGCCGCTGCCGCTGATGGTGCTGCTGCTGACGGTGCCGCCTCCGCTGCCTCCGGCTCAGGATCAGCGGTCGACATAGCCTCGTCAGTCTCCTCCGAATCGCTAGCCGCCGCGCCTGGCGCAGCAGCCACTGACTCTGGTACTGACCCTGCTGCTGTTGCTGCCGCTGCCGCCTCAGTTGCCGCTGGCATCTCCTGCTGCTGCTGCTGCTGCTGTTGCTGCTGCTGCTGCTGCTGCTGCTGCTGCTGCTGCTGCCGCTGCTGCTGCTGTGGCTCGGCCTCCCTCTCCACAGCTACAGCGGCTGGCCGCGCCGGGCGCCGCTGCTGCGTAGCTAGCTGGACGCTCACCCGCTTGGGGTTCTGCGGCTTGCGTAGGTTCTTGACCGGTTTAAGCGGCGTGGCCGGCGGAGCGCGCCGTGGCCCCCCGCGCCGCAGCGGCTGCCGCAACAGCTGCTCCTCCTGCACCGGCTGCCGTTGCCGCTCCTGCCCTGGCGCCGCAGGCACGGCAACTGCCGGGGCATCAGAACCCGCTGCCGGCAGCGCCGCAGTCGCTGCTGGTGCTGTTGCTGCTGAACCTGCCTCCGATGCTGCTCAGGTGTTGCCGCGGCCGCCGCTACCGCTGATGGTGCTGCTGCTGACGGTGCCGCCTCCGCTGCCTCCGGCTCAGGATCAGCGGTCGACATAGCCTCGTCAGTCTCCTCCGAATCGCTAGCCGCCGCGCCTGGCGCAGCAGCCACTGACTCTGGTACTGACCCTGCTGCGGTTGCTGCCGCTGCCGCCTCAGTTGCCGCTGGCATCTCCTGTGCAGTTGCCGCATCAGGCGGCGCTGCTGCTGCCGCTGCTGCTGCTGGAGCCGCCTGCGCCGCTGGTGCAGCAGGCGCTGCTGCTGCTGCTGCTGCTGCTGCTGCTGCTGCTGGTGGTGCCTCTGGCGCCGCTGGCGCGGCAGGTGCTGCCGCTGCAGCCGCTGCCAGTGCAGCCGGAGCATCCGGCGTCGCCACTGCTGCTGCCGCTGTCGCTGTCGCTGCTGCTGCTTCTGTTGCTGCTGCTGGTGTTACTGGCGCTGTTGCTGCCGCCGCTGCTCTGTCGCCCGCCAGTGCAGCAAGAGGCCCGTGCCCTGCAAAGTCCACGCGCTGTTCCCGCACCTGCATCCGCGCCAATGCCTTGTTGTACTCAGCCTCAGCGGCCGCCACAAACGACGGCTGCGGTGCTGGCGCTTCCCGCAGCTGCACGTCCCAGGCCCGGCCCCCGGCAGCCAGCGTGATGCTGGACGGTGTGGCGCCCGTCACCGCTGCTGCAAAGCGCAAGACATTCCTGCAGTCCTGCTCTTGCACCTGCGCATATGCGGCGGACAGCACAATGATGCCGCGGCTGCGCAAGGCATTCACCACTGCAGCCACGCTGGCGCCCCGCACCCCGGTCAGCGTGAAGGCTCGCACTGGCAGATCCTTGTAGTGGGCGCCAGCGGCACAGCGACCTGCTGCGCACCGACAAACCCTGTCACAGGGTCCACCAGCCGCGGCAGCTGCTGCTTGTCCGTCACCAGCAGCCCGTACCCAACGTTTAAGACTGACATCAGCCCCTGCCCGCCCTGCCGGAGCTCGGACGATGACCAGAAACGCGGCTTATCATCGCCACGGCAAAGGCCTGGCGCCTCTGCCAGCAACTCGAACTCCTGCACCAGCCCCCTCAGCTCCTCTGGCGTGAGGCTGCTGCGGCCAGGGAAACGCCGCACAACCTCCAGCGCAGGGAGCACTGGCGCATCCACTTGCAGCGCAAGGCTAGCAGGGAAGGAATGATCCGCCCTGTGCGCTCGGCGCCGCTGCAGCCGCTCAGCAGCAGCAGCCTGTCGCTGCTGCAGATGGCGTGCTGCTGGCTGTGGCTGCTGCCGCTGCTGCTGCTGCTGTCGCTGCTGCCGAGGGTCTGCTTGCGACCCCCCTGCCTGGCCTGGAGACGCTGCTGTAGCTGCTGCTGCTGCTGCTGCTGCTGCTGCTGCTGCTGTCGCTGCTGGGGCTTTTGCTGCCTTCGCTGCTTTAGCGCCCGCTCCAGAGGACGAAGCTCCTTTCGCCGGCATTCTGATTGATTATCTAGGATATATTCGCGAGGCGTTCAACACACACCCATGGAAGTGAGGCACCTCCGGGAGCGAGAGGCCGCCCCCGGGGCAGAGCGATATGGCCAAGCACGCCGCTACACAGGCATCAGAACGCGATTTCAGAAATATTGGTGGCAGAAAATCGGTTTTTGAGAGAGGAAGAGGGGTTACAGAAGCCAAAAAGCCCGGGAAATTTGGGGAAAATAACACGTTTGCGTTAACATAACGTCGCGAGTCATTATAGTGCACTGTTTGGCACTGATGGCCGAGTGGTTAAGGCGCCAGACTCGAAATCTGGTGGGGTCCCCCGCGTAGGTTCAAATCCTGCTCAGTGCGTTGTCTTGGTTTTTCCTTTCTGCTTGCTGCCTTTTTCCAACACCTAGGACAGCTATGCCTTTCGTTCGTCAGCTGTAATTATATGTTCTGAACTCATGTGTTTGGCCTGCTGTGCTGTGCCTGCAGGTGGTGGGAGTTTCATTCCACGTTGGTTCTGGATGCCAAAACGTGGGCGTGTATGCTGATGCTATTGCTGCTGCGCGGGAGGCGTTCGACATTGCAGCAACGTACGGCTTCAACATGGAGCTGTTGGACGTAGGTGGGTGGCGATCATGACAATCATGGGAGTTGTGAAAGGCGCCGCACCATCAGTTTGTGCCTGTTTTGCGCTGATCAAGCGTTGCCGAAGACTGCCTGCTGACATGCTGCTGGCATGGTGCTGAGCGTGCCCTGGTCTGATTGGGGGCTTCTTCTTGCTGCCTGCTTTGGTTGCGCACCGTGCGTTCAGGTGGCGGCTTCACTGCGCCGTATGATGAGCCTACAACGCAGCTGTTCTACCAGACCGCTGGCGTCATCAACGGCGCATTGGAGCGCTGCTTCCCAGTCGGCTGCGGTGTGCGCATCATCGCTGAGCCCGGCAGGTCGGTGCACCTGGCTTACATGTACGCTGGAGTTGCAGGACCCGCCGTGCAGCATGCATGTGCACGGCAGCAGCGTCGATGCACCTGCTCCGGTGGGAGTGAACAAAGAGTGCTGTCTCTCCTTCATAGTAGCTGAGCGCGTGTCTGGTATCACAAACGCTTTTGCGTGTTGGTGTGGGTGTGGGTGTGTGGGTGCCCCTCATCAACAGCAGGATTGGACCCCCTCCGCGCCGTTGCAGGTACTTTGCTGAGACGAGTGCCACGCTGTTCACTACCATCCTGGGGCAGCGCGACAGAAGGGCGGCTGACGGACGCCCCTTCAGGGACTACTGGCTCAGCGATGGCACATATGGCAGCTTCAGGATTCAGGTGACAACCCCCGGCCATGCTGTCACCGGTGCTCAAAGCTGCGATATCGTCGCATGGCCCGTCAGGAGATGTGCAACTGCATGATGCCTGGCTTGCCCGCAAGCCGCGCAAGCTGCATGGAGGACGCTGATGTTGCAGCGGGTGAGCGTGCTGCCTGCCCGTCGTGCTCAGCATGTGGCTGCCTGCCTTGCGTGCCACGTCCCTTCCCCTCATTGAACAGGTTGCAGTGGACGGGCTGGAGCCAAACTACTCCGTGCTGCGCAGCCCGCTGCTGCCGCCCCCGACGGCTGACGAGGCGCACAGCCTGCTGCACTGCCGCCTGTGGGGCAACAGCGACCGGGACGGCGACGTGGTGCACAAGGCCGCGCTGCTGCCGCCGCTGCGCGACGGGGACTGGCTGATGTTCCCTTACGCTGGCGCGTACACGGTGCGCGCCTGTGCACGTGGCACGGCGTGCCTGCTGGCTGCTGCTCCGTGCCTGCTGGCTATCCTGCTCAATGTTGCAGCGCCAGCAGTGCCGGGGTCTGGGCTGGGCTCATGTGGTGCCCAGGTGCTTCAAGTAGGGTGCGGTGCTGTGCTGGTTGGCATTGTGCCACTCAGCTTCACACGGTGCCCTCTGCTGTGCTTGGAGCCGCAGTACTCTCGCTTGCTGTGTCTGTGCCCATGGGCTGTACGCACCCGCCTCTCCGCTGCCTGCTGCCGTGTATGTGCTGCTGTTGCACCGCTGCTGCAGATCTGCGCTGCCAGCAACTATGGCGGTGTCTGCTTCACGCAGCCCCTCAAGGTGTTTGTGCACAGCGCCGAGGCTGTGCGCGACTTTGGCGACTTTGACGTGACGGCAGCAGCAGCGGCAGCGACAGCCGGCCTGGACGTGGCCGCTGCAGCTGCTGCAGCTGCCGGCAGGGGTGGCAGCGTGTCGGACAACGCCAGCTGCAGTGATGACAGCATGAGCGGCTGCTGCGAGCAGCTGCTGCCCTGTGTGGCGCTGCTGCAGGGCCTGGAGCTTGTACGTGACAGCTGCGAGCACAAGATGGCTTTGACGCTCGACTCACCTGACGTAGCAGAAGATGACAGCGTGGACAGCATCAGCTGCGACAGGGCAAGCTGCAGCGGCGGCGGTGAGAAGGTAGCTGCTGCTGAAGTTGAGCCATCGGATGCACGGGATGGCATGATCATGAGCACCTGCCGTGGCCTGGGCAGCCTGGGGGCTGGCGCCAGTGGTTGCGGTTATGTAACTGCTCCTGCTGCTGCTGCAGCTCTGGATGCTGCGGGGACAGCCGTGGAGGGGTGTGGCCTGCTGCTGCTGCATGCGGGCAGCGGCTCTGAGAACGGTGCAGTCGACAACTTTGATTGCATGTCGGTGGCGTCCGAGGCCACGGGCCTCGGGGCCGAGGCGTACTGCGGCAGCGGTGCTGCTGAGGCGGAGATGGGAGAGGCGTGTTATGTGTGTGTTTGAAACGCACACTGCGGCTGGGGAGGGTTTTACTTGCAATGTGCTTGCCGCAATGCAATGCACGTGCTGCACGCACCAGGGAGGCCACTTGACGTGGTGCATGGTCGTACATAGCAGCAGCGGCGGTGGCTGTGTTGTGCAACAGAGCATCGCATGATGGTTGCAGGGTGTTACACACATTTCCAAGTTAAATTGGGCAAGTGGACTGTTACAAACCGCCATTGGTTTGATGGGCTTGGCATGCAGGCTGCTTTACATGGTTGTGGGTGCCTTGACTGCTGTCATGTTTTGTATTTGGGCCCTTTCTAGGACTCTTGAGTTATCTGTTAAGTTGCAGGTCTTTGCATGGCAAGAGGGTTTCCTGCATGCCAACTCCTTGAAGTCATCCTGGACTGTACAGGTTGGGCAAGGCTTGGTTGGTGATGGCAAGGTAAAGGTGCTGGACCAAGAAGCCGCTCTGCTGCGGGTGTTTGCGCAAGGCTGCACAGAACGGGCTGCTGCACCCACTAACGAGGAGTTACTTGGTATCAGCACCGTGTGACTGGCTGTGGGGTCACATGGGTGGTTGCGATAGTTGCTGGTGACTGTGACATGCGAACGTCTTTCTGATCCGCTGCTGCTGAGGCATGCTGAGTGGTGGGATATAATATGTCTCTTGCACTGCCTCTTCAGAGTGCTGCTGCGAGGCCTGGCGGCTTCTCTATCAACATGCAGCAGGTTGAGACAGGTGTGGGGGGGGGGGGGTTCTTCCGGCTTCAACTACCAATGTTCAAAGGCACAGCACTCATTTCCTTATGTGGCCGTGGCATGTGGCCGTGTGTTTCTGTGTGTGAAAGCATCACAAACAAGTGCATTGTAGCAGTAGATGCACATGCGGCTGCAGTGACGGCGCTGTTCAGTGGTCACCTGTGTAGACGTGTGCAGGCGTGCATGCATTCACAACTAGCGGCTGGCATCCACAGCCGGCTTCCTACAGTTCCCAGGGTATTATTCCTTCGCTGCATGCAGCAGCCTTTTTTCTTTACAATTTTACCAGATCCTAGCTGAGTTACGCTTTGTAGTATGCAATCATTCAATTGGGTGCAACTGCATTTCCAACTCTCCTACATATTGGGATTGCAAGACAGATTTTGGCAGATGTGATGCGTGCGTGCACCGTCATTGTTCTTTGAGGGAGGGGGGAAGTGCAACCCCTTGCAGTTGCATGCAGCAGTGGTCAGCGGCAATGGGGCTTGCTGCTCAGCAGAGGTTGTCTCCCATTGTCTTTGTGTTGGTGGGTGAGACACACGGGGTCCGCTGCAGCAGAACAGGTTGTGCGTGCTGTGCGTGTACTGTTCTTTCCATCTTTTCACAAGCTTGCATGTGGGTGGTGGGCTGAGGCGCTTCATTGATGTGCCTGAAGTGCTATGTTCTTTCTTTCACAAATGCTCATTTTCTTAATCATTTATGGCTGCTCACAAGGTAAGGTGGCGCAAGGAAGGTGGCGGGCCGGCAGTGGCTGCAGTTGTGTGGCCCCCTGGTTGGTCTGAAGTTGTGACTCTTCACTTTGCAATACAATACAATACAATACAATATTGCAGTCATGCATCATCATCATCATCATCATTATCAGCAGCAGCAGCAGCAGCAGCAGCATCATATTACCCATTCAAGCCACAGCATCAATGTTGCAGTCACGCAGTGTTGGCGGTGGTGCCAGGTCTGGGTGGCAATTTAAGTAGGCGGGGGCTGTGACCACTTTTTGCCGCAAAACACAGGTTGCGCAACTTGGCCGCGAGACCTGGATGTCAGTGTGCCACTGGCTTGACCCTTTAGCGTCAGTGCGCTGTGTATGCTTTGGTTGTTACAATGCTGGTGTCCGGCTGAGCCTTGGAGCGTCCAGGCTCCCACGTGTAACAAGGTGCAAAAGCAACTTGTGAATGAAGGGGCATAGCTGCTACGGCACCGGTGCTCAGGACATTTTGTGACATCCCTAGTGCATTGCATCATGTGATGATGTGCTACGAATATGTAGAGCAGCGTTTCATACGGCCACCGTACAAGACGTGCTGCTGCTGCGTTTTGCTGCGAGTGTTATTGTCATGACGGGCTCTGACATGGGGTCTACTGGAGACTACTTCAAGGTGGTGCGCAGGTGTCACGGGTGCCTCCCCGCCCGGGGTGTGCACTCGTTGACACTTCTGCCCTTCAATTCTCTGCGCTACAGGTATGTTTGGGTATTTGAGGCCTTGCTGCAGGAATGCGTGCCTGCATGGCAGCCCACTCGGAGCACCAGGAGAACTTGGGCGGGGGTCTCCTGGTCCAGCATTGCTTGAGGTGCGCAGTTTTGCATTTACCTGGAGCCCAGGAGCCGTTAAATCCGTTCTTTTACAAGAGCGCGGCGCTCTGCAGCAGATTGCGGAAACAATGTTAACAAATAAAAGTGTGATCACATGGCTGTACATGGCCACTGAATTCCAGGCAAATGCAAACATCACATTTGAAGGCGTCCACGACTGCACATTATATGGCAGCCTGCATCGGTTGCCCAAAATTAGGCCGGCCGCTGGGCCTCAGCGCTGGCAGCGCCGACGCCGCATGAATCAGCCTGGCACCAG